CCTGGATGGGTCATCATGAGCATTCACAGGGAATTTGTGGAAAGGCTCAGCACAGTGCCTGGCATGTGGGAAGCACCAGGAAGTAAAGTAGGACAACTATGGGCCTTAGCCTCCTGACGTTGACGATGGCGACAGTTAACCATACCTGTGCACTCATGGGTGGCATCAGAGGTGGTATTTCACACAAGACCTTCCTTCATCCTCAGCACATCCCTGAACCAATGTTACTGGGAGCGAAGAGTGGCTCTAAGAGATTATGTGATGTGCCCAAGAGCACGCAGCTGGGAAGAGGCAAGGATGAAGAGCAGGGCTCAGGAGAAGAGGCCACGGCTCTTTCTTGGATTTCTGAACAGCTCCCCACAAAGTCCCAGAGCATCCAGGAGTGGAAGGGGCTTTAAGAAGCCTTAGTGCTGCAGAGAGAGAACCTCATCCTCTGCCCAAGGCCCAGAGAGGTGTGTTTCATCTCTGAGGATGCAGAGCACCCCCACCCCGCTCTCCAGAAAAACTGGGGGCATCATGGTTGGGAGGCCTTCTCGCCATAGGGTGTGAGGGACCAAAACCTAGAGGGGCAGCCTTAGAAGACACACCTCCTTGCTCCACACTGGCCACAACAAGTGTCTGTCAGTTGCAGCTTGCACAATGGAGCTTGTGGAGAGCCCACGCCATGGTGGGAGCTCAGGCACCCGGGGACCCTCACTGATCACTGTGATGTCTGCTTTAGCGTCCTCTCGGGAGGCTTTGTGTGCTGTGGGCAGTGGTTTCAGGAGGCAGATGTCCGTAGGCTGCTCTCCCTGTGCTGTCCTTGAATCTGCCCAGAATCTAGGGCGCATTTATGTGGTCCACGTTCAAAAAATCTCAAGACGGAAACTCAAGGCAAAATGGATGTTTAAAACTCTAGAAGTGGTGCCCAGAGATGTGTTATCCTCTGCATGCCCTTCGCCACTTATAGGCTGTGTGGCTTTGGGAAAATTACTACCCCTCTCTATGTCTCCCTTTCCTTCATAAAATAGACGTGACAACGCATGTCCTCCCTGGGTTGTCCCGAGGATTAAACGAGGGAAAGGGGCAGTGCCGGCACCCAGCAGTCTCGGTGAAGGCTGACTTCCTGTGTGGTCCCAGCACACAGAGCACAGATGTAAGGCAAAGATGCTGCATGAGTGGCCAGAGGCAGAGCAAGTCAACCCCCCCTCCGAACTCCACAAGATAGCCCAGAAATTCAGCCATTTATTCTGCAACAGGCACTAAGTACTGGCCTCACAGATGCTGATCTCCACAAATGGGAGCTGGCAACACAGAGACAAATGAGACCTTGTCACTGCCACCAGGAAGCCCACCAATGTGTGGCAGGGACATCTACTCAGTGGGATCAGTGTAACAGGGCAGCTAAGGGCCTGGCAGGCCCCACAGAGCCTCCTAATCCAGGCAGAGGGGGCCTGGAGGAGGGGGCGCCTGGACTTAGTCTGAAAGGATAAGTAGATGAGTTGGTGAAGGTAGAAAGAGTCCAGGCAGAAGACTCTGCATGTGCAAAAGTGCAGAAAGGAGAGAAAGGAGGGAATACGTCATGGGACACCAGGATTGGGGCTGGGGCTGGTGTCAGAGGTCAAAGATGGGAAGCAGGGCAGCACAAAGACGAATGCTGAGACATGATTCCACAGCCTAGCCCAATGATTTTCAACCAGTGTGCTGCAAGAATTGTTAAAACATGCAGTACCTGACTAGTCAGGGACACTGACCTCTTGTCCCTGAGACTGTCAAATAAAAAAATGACAACAGTCAACACAAAGCTGTCCGGTATGAATGAATCAAAATTATACTTTTTTTTTTTTTGGTGTGCTGCAGAATTTTAGTATTTATGTGTGCCCTGATGAAAAAGGTTGAAAAATCCCTCTTAGCTTACAGGCCTATTATTTTGATTTCCCAGGAAGATCACAGGTCTTCAAGGGTCTCGTCAAAGCCAGTGCTGCAGAAACCTGTTCCAGGCCGGTGGGCCAGCAGCTTCTTCTTGGAGGTGGGTCGCTAGGCAAGTCTCCGCCCCTACGGTGGGCTCGCCTCCTTGGGCCTTGCCCACAGCTGCTGCTCGCACGCCCTCTCCTGGTGGCGCCATGCAAGGGCAGCATGGGTGTAAGGGCAAGCTGGCCTGCTGCCTTCCAGATCATCCTCCTGGCTCACAGCCAAGCCTTAGCCGTTTGGTATAAGTACTGTTGCCCCTGGTCACTGGTCTCTTCGCTGCCCATCCTTTCCTGACTCCACCCCTGCTGAACCTAGCCTGGGCCAGCCGGTAAGGGAGAGGAGCCTGGAAAGGTGGGTGGGCAGGTTGGGTCGAAAGGGCTGGTCTTTACTCTGAGAGCAGTAGGGAGCCATGAAAGGCATGTAAGCAGGGAAGTAATATGAGCAGGTATGTTCTTCCAATGCTAGTTCTGCTGCTGGAGAACCTCCTGGAAGAGGGCATTCAGGAGCATGGGCTGGATTAACTGGAAAGGTTATAAGGAGCAGGGGTCCATTGATCCCACCAGGGTAAATAACCATGAGAGACCACAGAAAGGAACAGAACTTGGGGTTCACACCAGGGAGAAGGAAGGTAGGCCTTCCACCCTGCCCCACACTTTGGTCTTTTCACCCCAGCAGGCATCTCCGAGGCTCCAGGAAAGATGTGGAGCATTCTTTGGAGATTCATCAGATCATAGGCCTATTGGAGAATTCAGCAATCTTCCCCTTCCTGAAGCCCTGTGGACATGGCTCCTACAATAGGGCAACAGGACATTATCCTTCTCATCAGGCCAGAGCTTCCCATCTCAAACCCTATATGCCAACTAAACATCCTGCTTTCTTGCATTGGTCTGAATGGGCAGAGGATGTCTCGTACCTATGTGCCGTGATCAGAAACGGAAAAACAGCTCTATTGAGTAATGCACCTTGGTTGAAAACAATCTTTCAAAACATAGTCTAGGATAAAACAAAGTGGTTTTTTAAAAAGTAGATGCACTGGCCGATTTAGCTCAGCAGTTAGCACGTTGGCCTGAGGACAGAGGGGTTGTGGGTTCGATTCCCAGTCAAGGGCACATACCTGGGTTGCAGGTTTAATACCCAGTTCTGGTTGGGGTCATGCTAGAGGCAACCAATTGATGTGTCTCTCTCATCGATGTTTCTCTCTCTCTTCTTTTCACTCTGTCTGGGAATCGATGGAAAAATATCAAGTGAGGATTAACAAAATAAATTGAATAAATTTTTTAAAAGAACCTTTAGAAACTTGACTTGATTTCACTCCTATCAACTACTATATTAGAAAAAAAAGTAGAGGCTGATCTGATCATCAGCCCCACCTGGCCATCCTGACAGGTCAGGGGACCAGTGAGCATAGGGTGAGTGAGCCTAAGTGGAACCAGAAGTCAGGTCTTCTCTTACACTCTCAGGGCTTCTGTATCATTGTGGCCTTGGGGGCAGGACCAGCATTGGGGTGGCTGACAGCTTCAGCCTCTAAGCCAGGCTAGCGCAAAATCACTGCACCATCAGGCCCAGACTGAAGCCAATGCCTGGTTCTGCCATCCTAAAACTTTGTGTCTGTAATGCAGTAACTGAAAATTTTCTACTGTGCCTGCCCCAATGCCTTTCAACAGAGCAGGCCAAGCCCTAGACCCCCTGGCACCACACTGATGAGGAGAACAGAGTATTACTTCTCAATGATCTTTCTCCTACTTATCCTGGGAGGATTCTTTAGCACCTGTGCCAACAAGCAAGACAAAAAGCAAGTCAGCCCTGGCCGGTTTGGCTCAGCGGTTAGAGCGCCCGCCTGCGGTCCGGAGAGACCCGGGTTCGGTTCCCGCTAAGGGCATGTACCTTGGTTGCAGTTTGTCCCCGGCCCTGGTTGGTCGTGCGGGTGGCAGCCACTCGATGTGTCCCTTTCACATCGATGTTTCTCACTCTCTCTCTTCCTCTCTCTCCCTCCCACTCTGTCTGTACAAAAAATGGAAAAATGTCCTCGGGTGAGGATAAAAAAAAAAAAAAAAAAGCAAGTCAGCCTGTTCTCCTGGGGTGCCAGTTTTCCTCTGGACAGAGAACAGGATGCTGCTCACCTTGAAATCCTTCACTCCAGGTCCCCTACCCTTCTGCCCCCTTACAGGAGTGCCTATTTTCACCTTACTCATTCTTGCCCTTTAAAAGGCTGTTGAGGCCCTGACTTCTCTGGGCTTTTTCTGACCATCCCCACAGCCCCTCTCCCTCTGTCCCAGTCCCAATGCCATTGGACAGTATCTGTTCCTCCTACTAGATTCCACGCTCCTCATGGGCAGAGCTGGTGACTGCCAGACTCTGAATCTGGTAGAGATACTGGATGATTTTTAGATGAAGGGGCAAGTGAAACCAGGGGAAGAGCCCCAAGATCCTAAAACAGCAGAAAGAGACCAAGTACAGTATTTTGAAACCATGTCCCTCTGCAGGGACCATGAAAGGAGCTAAGAAAGGGAAACAAAAATTTTTTTTTATCCTTACCTGAGGACATTGTTCCATTTTTTGTTCAGACAGAATGGGAGGGAAAGAGGAAGAGAGAGAAACATTGACGTGAAAAGGACACATTGAGTGGCTGCTTCCCGCATGACCCAACCAGGGCTGGGGACAAACTGCAACCGAGGTTCATGCCCTTAGCGGGAACCGAACCCGGGTCTCTCTGGACTGCAGGCCCACACTCTAACCACTGAGCAAAACTGCCCAGGGCCAAAAAGACAGATATCTTTATATTTTATGGTCTGCATCAGACTTCCGTAAGAGGTCTCCATTTCTTAAAATGACAATATACACAATAACTGAAGTAAATCTGGCCTAAGTTTCTCACTTGATAACTGAAGTAAGGGGAAGGGAGGGGAGCAGGGAAGGACTTGCCTAAGCAAGCACACAGTAGAAGTAGGCCAACAGGCCACAAATCCGGGTTCTGGACTCCTCTACCCAACACTGCCTTCCACAGGATTTAAAGAGAGAATAAACCTTCAACAAGGATTTCCATTGCTCATTTTATTTCAACAGTCAATTGTCCGCAAAGAAGAAATTGCTGACATCATAGGTACTTTGGAAGCACGATTCTATTCTGAGAACTGCATCAGTGCTTACAAATTGCCTACTTTTTAAAGCTGGCAATCACTATAAAAACACCAAATAATAAAACGTTAATAGATTTTTTAAAAACTAGAAATGATGTCTATAAATGGCTTAAACTTTGTGAAGGAGAGGTAAAGCAGCCCCAGTGGTCACTATGCTTACTAGTAAAGCCCCGTGGAGAAGGGGCAAGGGGCAGTGGCCAGTTAGGCCATGGGAGACAGGGCAGCAAAGAAGGACACTCCAGAACCTGCTGTCAGTGCCCTGGTCCTGGCTGCTTGCACTAGCCATTCGATGTGCTGGAAGCTAGATGTTTGTGCTGCCCCCTGCTGGGGACATAGCAGAGGCAGAAGGCTGAAATACATGGTGCCTCCTGTCCTGGAGCGGGGTCTGAGGGCGAGTCTCATAAAAGGTAGCACAGCCCAGAGATGGTTAAATTCATTCCTAAACGTGAGTTTCCACCAGCCCCCCACTCCTCAGAGTCCTGGCCCTCCCCTAGTAACTTCATCCTCCGTCCTCCTGTTCAAGCCCACATCTCAGGATTGAGAGAACCTTAGAAACCACCCTCTTTCCTCCTGTCTTGAAATGGGAATTAACTCTATGTTATGTCTATCACTATCTTCCTTCCCTACACATCACTGAACACAGACAAGAAAATCATTGCTGTCACACCCCCCATGCCCCGTTTTGCTGGCCCGAGGGCCTGGGCCTAGTCAGACTGCTCCTGAGATGATGGCTGGCTGGGCTCACGAGGAACCTCCGCATCCTGGCCATCTGCAAGAACAAAAAAGAGGGACTATATTTAGAAACAGAAAGTTACCTATTATCAGGCATACATTTTCTACAAGGCATTCTCATCATTCCCAGGCCCTAAGAAGAATTAATTTGCCTTTAATTTTCTGGGTGTCAGGAGGCTGGAATTCTAGTCCTCACATGATTACCGGCTCAAGTTCAAATTCCAGTTCTGCCTGTCACAGGCTGGGTGGCATGAATCAAGCTACCCTGAAGCTCTGAACCACAATCCTTCCTTCTGTAGAATGAAATAATACCTACCTTGCAACATCAGGTCAGCATGGGGATCCGGTGAAACAGTGGGAACTAACTTTCACTAATGTCTTAATCACTTTAGGTTGTTTATTCCTCAGAATAACCTCATGAGGTAGGGAACATTATTAGTCCATTTCCACAGATACTGAAACTGAGGCACCAATGAGTGAACTAACTTGCCCAAGGTCACACAGCTGGTAAGTGCTGGAGCCAGGACCTGTGCACCAGGGCCAGCATGCTTCAAGCCACACTACACCATCTCTCCAGCTAACAGATCTAGGCATCTCACACGGCAGGTGTGCAACAGGCATGTTTCCTCTTCAGTAAAATGAGAATGATATCACCAGACTAACCTCAGGAGAGGATTGAAAGGGGGAAAAAATTTCTTGAATGTAAAAGCAACACAATCCAAAGATGCTTAAATTCATTCTGCAAAAAGGCCTCAAAAGAAAACCCAAAGCATTTTCACATCTGAAATGTCAATCGACCTTCACAGTAACCCCGTGAAAGGGCTCATTTTACAGAGGAGAAGATTGAGGCCTAGAGAAGGGTGTGCGAGTGACCAAGAATACCCAGTGCATCAGTGGCTGGTCAGGTTCTCTCTCCACAGTGGCCTAAGGAGAGGAATCATCCCTACCAGACCCAGACTGGCTTCTGCTGCTACTCCAGGCTCAGCATTTGCTGCTTCCCCAGCCAGAGAGGCCTGGCACCTCTGTTCTGAGCACACCACATACACACCTTTCTCCACATCTTTGTCATGGGCACTGACAGAGCCATTTCTGGACAGGACATTAGAGCCAGACAGGATTCTGTTGAAATCTGAGCTCTGCTATTTACATCTACAAGAACCCCTCAGGGTTCTATTGATGTCCTCACCTGAGAATGGGGGCCCACCTACCTGATGCTGGCATGTGGAATTTGGGCAGAGGTCTAAGGAAACTTATCCCACATCCAGCACATTTTAATTCTGTTCTCAATTTCCCGTCTCTCCACATCTACTTCGTATTAGCCCTCCTTCCCCCAGAAAGTTTTCCTGGCTCCCCCACAGACTAGAAGACTGGTGCTCACTTACCAGGGGTCTCCTGGTCAGACAAAACAGTCAGTGAGAAAGATGCTGGTGGTGGAGGTGGCGGCAGTGGCGGAAGGAAGTGGATCCCAGAGAGGAAGCCTGGCGGGAGGAACTGGGGCTGCGGTGATAGCGGTGGTGGCGGCAGCAGTGGTGGCGGAGGTGGTGGGGGATAGCTTGGCTGGAAGTCTTCCACTGGCTCCGACATCTGCATGGTACACTCAGCAGAGAAGCCAGATAGGGGAGAGGGTTAGCCAGATGGGCTGATCAAACATGTCCCATTCTCCTCAATGGGGGGCTCCCATGGGCTAGATTCACCTGTGCGGCCGAGACACCTGGACACAAGGCACTTGAAACGAGGTATTCAGTAAACACCCACCAAATGATTGAAGGCAGGAAACACAGGCACATCTCAGATTAGCCTGGGGAACAGCCATACAGTCACAATGACTGAGCCCTCTGTCTACGCTTAGATCCACTGCCTCATTTCATCCTCATGACCGGGAGGAGGGCAGTTCTTTTACCATCCTTACTGCAATGATGAAAAACAAGGCTGGTGGAATGAAGCTACAGTCCCAGGGCCACAGAGCTGGTGCATGGCTGAGGCAGAAAACTGGATTCCAAGTGTGTCTGACCCTACTGCTCTGCACTGAGCGAGGGTCTGCAGGCATGCCCAACCACTTGTGGTCCCGTTTTCTGGCACATGTAACGACAGACTCAATAGTCAGGGGGCCTTCACCTGGATGTAGTGCAGCTGTGACTGAGTCAGGGCAGCTGAGTGACCTCAGGAATGTAGCTTCAGCCATCAACCATTCTGTGCTTCCGTTACTTCTTCAGGTGATGGAAGCTAACCCCATGCCATAGGACCCTGAGGCTGAAAGGAAGGGATCTGGAGGGGTGATGACTACACAGCTCAAAGTTTAACTGAGAAAGACATAAATGTAATAAAAAATAGTAATGAATTTCAGATGTAGCTCCTATTTACTTCTCCATCAAGATACTTCAGCGCAGCATTTCACAAGCTCTGTTCCAGAGAACCCTGGTGTCCTATAGATATTTTTAGGTGCTCTTGAAAGTGTTCTTTGTCAAAGGAGTTTGAGAAACCTCACATATTCCCTCCACAATGGTGAGTCACACTTGAGCATATTAAAGCCTCGAGGCAGTCTGCAAAAATCTTAGATTAACCCAGCATTTCCTAACTTAATTTGACCACAAAGAAGAAATGAAAGCCCACTTTTAAATATCAACTATATGCCAGACCCTATGCCAGGCACTTACTCTACATGCATTACACCTTAGTTACTCTATCAGTGGGCCTATGAGATAGGTACTCTTCCCCTCGTTGCACAGATGAAGAACCTGAGTGAGGTCCTCAGAGGCAAGTGACTTTCCCAAGCCATATAGCTAGTAAAAAGAAATAGAATTGGACCACATGTCTGTTCAACTCCAGGCCTGTGATCTTTTGTGGGGAAAAAACAAAGGAAGCAAAGCAGCAGCAGGTGGGACAGAGACAGGAAAAGGTGGAAGATGTCTCTTGGGAGTATCTCAGAGCCTGGGCAGGGGGAGCAAGACACAGATGAAAGCAATTCATAGGCTCTTGGGTTTGAAACAGCTTTACAAATAAATGCTGGATCCTCTACCAGACATGAAGGGAGTTAGGAGGGGGATTATTAGTGTTTTAATTCCATGCTACTTGGCCAAGTTTCTCCCTAGATCACAGCTCCTGCCTGGGGCCTGTGGTGGCAGCTCAGGCCCAGATAAACCAGCTGAGATCACACTCTTAACAATGGCCGTCTGGCAGGCCTGTCAATCAGAGCCCTGCTCTGGACGCCAGACTCCAGGCTTTTGCGTGAGCAGACGGTGGAGGCGTGCTCCACTTGGCCAGAACCCTTCTCTTTGTGTGGAGGCTAGAGACATCATGCTGTCCCTGGGCTGAAAGTGGGTGGCCAGCACCCACAGATTTCAGGTGGGGCAGGGTGGTGGTGAGAGTCTTGTTTATTCTACCTCTGTATGAGGCTTAAGGTAGCAGAAAGTACCTGGGTTCCAGGGTTAGGACAACTCATGTATATGGCCTATTTATGTCACCGACCTACTGTGTAATTTTGACTCCAGTCCCTCACTCACCAGTTCCGTGACCTTAGACAAATGCATAACTTCTCTGAGCCTTCTTCCTCTATTCTACAATGGAATAACGACATGTGCCTTGAAGGCTCAAATAAGGGTCAGTAGGCACCGTAGAAATGATCAAGATCAGTTGTTTTCAGACTCCCCCCCCCCCCTGTATCAATGGAAAATGATTTATAAATAAAACTTTACAATATCTAAAACAGAAGAGATGCTGCTGAGGCTGAAGCAGGAGTGGGGTTCCAGTACCTGTGTGCTAGACCTGCCTAGACAGAGCTAGAACCCCATTTACTGGCTACACACTCTGCAGCTAATGACTCTCATTATGTACCTCTCAAGCTTTCATCTCTCTCTTTATCACTCTCTGCATTAAACCAAAGAAGCCTGCTCTCTCTCCATTCTTCTTCACCCTCTACCCAAGGAAAACATCTCTGTAACACCCAGGATTAGGCTTTTAGCTCTAAGGGAGGGAGTAAAGGTAAGGGTGGCCTACATTTCCATGCACTTGAGCTGCATTTGAGTCAACACCCCCACAGATTAGATCCAGCCTTATAGGCCTAAAGTCAGGACAGGTCACGCAGGCCTTTCACTATCCTGTAGTCCTGATGGCCCGCAGGGGTTGCCCAGAGGGAAAGGGCTTTAAACTGTCCTGGTCTGGAAGGAACCAAAGCCACAAAACCTGGTCACCCTGGCTTGTATCTCCTACAACAGGGATGGCCTCACTTACACATCCAGTTTTCAGAACTTCAGGCTTACAGAGCATACCAGTTAGTAACTAGTAAAGGATTAAATTTCAATCTCTTTCAACACATATCTCCTAAGGTGACAGGTGTTTGGGAGAGGTTTCCATATTTTTCATAACTAAGCTTAAATGCCACTTCCTTTTGAAAACCCTCTGTAGTCTCAAGTGGGCCATACCCTAGGACAGGGGACTTATGTCTGCTCCTGGCTCTGCCCTAAACTGTACAGCTCCAGGAGAGTGGTATTTCCTTTCTGGTACCCAGCAAAATGAAGGGCCCTTCTAGCACCAGCATTCCAGGAGAACGGGCTGGTGGTCACTCAGTCAGTGTCCCCAGGTTTATCTGAGATGTGTCTGTATTCCTTCTTGCCTGAGCTCCCAGAGCCTTTTTGCCTAAAGCTCTGAAAAGCAAATGCCACAGCCCAGGCTGACCTGTCTACACGTTTGGACTTATCCACCTGTGTGCACTCCCAGAGGTGTACAGTGTGCAAGGCCAAGGGGCCTGGCATAGAGTGGACACACCAACAGGCTTCCTGGGATTCAGCGTATGTAAGAGCAGCAGAGCAGATGGGATAAGGAGGAACCCAGAAAGGAGTGAGGATGGGACTCACCGAGCCTCCTCCGTGGTAGTGGCTGAAGGACACATGCCGGAAGCCCTGCTGCAGAGGGATCCCCAGGCCCGGGGAAGGATCCTGGTAGCCCATCGGGAACGGGCGATAGTACATACTGGAGCAGCTGGAATACAGCTTGGAAGGATCTCGCTCCAGGTACTCAGACCCCACTACAGAATCCGAGTTGATGCTCAGAGAGAGCCCTGAAAAGGCAGGCAATGAGGGAAGTATTAAAAACACAAAGAGGTAATAAAAAAAGCATCCCATTACTGTCCAAAGACAGCAGTATGGTAAACACTCAGATCCATTTACAAAGAACTCCCACATCCATTATGTTTTTGACCCTCCCTGCTTTTTAAAGTGTTCAACCATGTCCCACTGTTCTTAGAAAGTCCTCCGCACAGTCACGGAGCCTCACGCGCCTGATTCCTGCCCCTGCTCCAGCCTCATCCAGGTCTGTAACCTAGTGGTTTCTTCTCATCCACCTCAAAGCCTTTGCAGATGCTGTTCCCTAGTCTTGGAAGGCTTTCTCTCCTAAACCCACTTTGCCTCCCCAGTCCTCGGTGCTCAGCTTCCACCCTTTCTCTGCTAGCTATCACTGCTCTGTTCACTGATCTGTGCGATCCTCTCGCAAGGATAAGATCCTTGAGGGCTAGAAATCGGCTGCCCCCTCTCCTTTCCATCACTGGTGTCTGGCACATAGCCGAGTGCTCAGTCCCTGTCCGTGGACAGATGGACAAAGGAAGGCACGTGTTGGTGGAAAGGAATCCCGTCCTCTTCTATAGGATTACTATTTCAGGTCTGTTCCTCATCTAGTTCCCTGACGGCCAGATTTTCCCAGAACATCCCAGAAGACAGAAATGACCTTCAGGGAGCATCCAGGCCAATCTCCTTAGCATCCAGAGGGGAGAGACTGACACAGAAGGAAGAGCTTGCCTAAGGTGACAGAGTGAGCGCCCCCGTGTCCTGACTCAGACACGCCATTGGGAAAACCCACAGGGGTCTGCACTCAAAAACAGCTGTTTTGTCAAAGCTTCAGATCTACATGTGACTTGCAGTTGTACTTTAATAGTGAAAGCATAGTTTACACTGTTACATGAGGAACAATATAATTTATGTACATGGTGGGCGGGAGAAAAACATAGAGAATATCCCATGGAGCATAAAAGCTACCCCATTCCCACCCCCACGCACAGAAAGGGTACAAAATGAGGTGCGCAAGCGCATTGGGCTAGAGCTCAGGTGAGGGGTGGGGCCTCCAGAAGGCAGAAAGGGAGAGAAAGGTGGTGCGCAGGCGCACTCCGCAGTCATAGTCCGGAAAGCCCATCCGCAGGAAGTCCTGTGAGGGGAGCCTCCCGCGCCAAGAAAAAGAGCGGGAAAGGGCGCGCAAGCGGATTGGAATAAGGCACAGTTGAAGGGCGGTCCTGTGGGGGGCCTCCAGCCCCGTGGTAAGTGGGCGAAAGCGCGCAAGTGCAGCCATCATTGCGCAGGCCCACCCACAGAGACGTTCTGGGGGGAGGTGCCTCCAGCCCAAGAAAAGGGCGGGAAGAGGCGCGCAAGTGCAGTAGGGCCAATGTCTCCACAAGGAGCGCCAGCTAGGCAGACTGGAGGCCATTTTTTCTTTGCAAGAAAGGCGAAAATTGTAGCTAAATATTAAAAGCCATCTGCACCACCCACTCTTTTCCATCTCTTTTACCTTTTTGCAAAAAAGCACTTAACCCAGCCCTGGCCGGTTTGGCTCAGCGGTTGGAGCGTAGGCCTGCGGTCCCGAGAGACCCCGGTTCGGTTCCGCTAAGGGCACGTATCTCGGTTGCAGTTTGTCCCCGGCCCTGGTTGGGTCGTGCGGGTGGCAGCCACTCGGTGTGTCCCTTTCACGTCGATGTTTCTCTCTCTCTCTCCCTCCCGCTCTATCTGAACAAATATCAAAAAAAATGTCCTCGGGTGAAGGTTAAAAAAATAAATTAAAAAAAGCACTTAACCCAAATCCATATTAAGAAAAAGGTTTCGCAAAGCAAGTTTACCTCAGAAAGAATCCCCCACCCCCACCCCGTGTCCCGCCAGTGGGGTGCGGGGAGGCTGCAGCCCGGAGAGGAAGCCGGCGGGGAGGCCGCGCGGCCGGGAATCTTACCGAAGGCGAACGGCGGGCTGGGAACGGGCCGCAGCGGCCTGCGCATCTCCGGGTGGCCAGGGCCGCCCCTGCCTGCGGCCTCCGCCCTCAGCTGGGGCCGCACAAAACCGGGCATGGCCGCGGCGGCGCCTTCGCTCGCACCCACGTGGCCGCGGCCGGCCAGAACCGGCTGGAAGGCGCTGGGGCCCGGGCTCGGGCCGCGCGGTGGTCTCTCCAGCAGGTAGGCGGCCGCGCGGCCCTCGGGCTCCAGGTCCCCCGGGGCGGCCAGCGGAGGCAGCGGGCGGAGGCTGGAGGCCGGGGCGATGGCCGCGGCCCGGGAGGCCAGCTCCTGGTCCTCTTCGGAGGCCTGCTTCTTGAGCATCTTTTGCGCGGCCATGATCTTCTGGCGTTCGGTGATGAGGTAGCACTTCTCGCAACTGCACTGCTTCCAGCGACACTTGCCCGCGTGGCCCTTGACGGCCACCAGGAACCCATGGTTCCGGCACCGCGAGCAGTTGGGGGTGCGCAGCATCTTGTCGGCTGCCCGGGCAGGGTCCGCCTTCATAAGGCAGCCGCCACCTCGGGGAGCTGCAGAGCAAGTGAAGCGGGCAGAGCAGGGCCCCAGAAGTCCCTGGTGCCGGGGACACTGGATACACTTGTAGCAAAGTGGTTCCCGGCAGGGCAGCGAGACCCTTGCATCTTCCCAACTCGGGAGGGGGGCGGGGTGCAAAGTTGAAGTTTCTGTGCCTTGATTAATTCGATGCAAGAAGAGATTGGGATAAATTCCACCTGGAGTACTAGTGAACGGATGTCATCTGGGTTTTCTGAAGTTTTAGGCATGTAATGTTCTGAAGTTTCTATCCTTGTTACAACCCCCTCCCCCCGACAAGGGGGAAACTTCAGAATCGGCAGTGACATGTAATGGTCCGCGGATTTAAAGCTCCAGAGGAACGCAGCTCTCGGTAAACCCATTCCCGTGGGGAAGCATTCTAAGCTGCAGGCCGTGTTTCTCCTTCCAAAAGCTGCTGCTTCGGCCAAACTCCGTTTCTCTCCCCTGCAGAGAAGCGGCCGGTTACAGTGATGCTTCTAGAATATTCTCGAGGGCCCAGTGCAAGGTGATGGTTGCTCGTGGGTGTGTCCCGATAGTAGTTCCCTTTTGAGAGTCTTGTTGGATAGGAATTCGTGTCTGGACGATGGCTTGTTGCTCTCTGGATGCCTTCCGAAGTAAAGCCTACTAAGAATGCTTTAAAGTAAAACAGACAGGGTATTTTAGCATGGGTTTGAATCATTGCTTAACTTTGCCATCATAAATTTAGTTCTACCTGTAAAGCAAACCTAATTTTGGGAGGCCTGAAAAGCTGGCATGAATTTCATAGTTTCCCAAAGCTACCAAATCACTTCATTTTCTTGTTTGATAGAAATTTGTGATACCCTGGGGTCTTTTTCTTTTTTTTCCATTTAGGTCCCAAAAGGGGAGGGGGAAGATGGGCCACTCACACCTTAGTTGAAAGCTTATAGTCATATTGTGATTAAGGAGGTGGTTATGGTTAACACCTGACTACAACATATGCACTTGAAATTGCCCTTTCTCTAAAACTTCCCCTGGTAGCAGAATGGTAGAAGCAAAGACCACGTGTCTACCTTGATTTTCCTGTGCCTCTGATTGCAGCTGAACTGTGCATATCTCACCAACCGTCTGAGAATAAGAAATGTTTGCCATTCTGGGGCTGATTAGATACTGGAAGGCTGAAAGGGGGTTCATAAAGCCTTTTTTTCTGCTTTAAAGAAATATATTCCTGCCCTGGCCAGTTTGGCCCAGCGGTTAGAGCGTCGGCCTGCGGTCCGGAGAGACCCGGGTTCGGTTCCCGCCAAGGGCACGTACCTCGGTTGCAGTTTGTCCCCGGCCCTGGTTGGTCATGCGAGTGGCAGCCACTCGATGTGTCCCTTTCACATCGATGTTTCCCTCTCTCTCTCCCTCCCACTCTATCTGTACAAAAAATGGAAAAATATCCTCGGGTGAGGATAAAAAAAAAAAAAAGAAAGAAAGAAATATATTCCTCTCTTATTAAGAGGGCAAGAGCATATCCTTCTGTATTATTTGTCCCTTCAAGAATTTCACTGGTAATTTTACATCCATTTAAAGAAATCTAGGTTTGTCTCAGCTTTGTTCTAACATCCTCTATCTTGACTTTTTATGTAAAAAACACAGTCCCATAGCCCTGGCTGGTTTGCCTCAGTGGTTAGAGCTTCGGCCTGTGGTCCAGAGAGACCTGCATTCAGTTCCCACTAGGGGTGCGTACCTCAGTTGCAGTTTGTCCCCGGCCCTGGTTGGTCATGTGGGTGGCAGCCACTCGATGTGTCCCTTTCACATGGATGTTTCTCTCTCTCTCTCTCCCTCCCACTCTATCTGAATAAAAAATGGAAAAATGTCCTTGGGTGAGGATTAAAAAAAAAAAAAAAAAAAAACATGGTCCCATAGATAAAAGAGCAGGCAAGCTCTTTCCTGACTCTACCCAATTCAAAATAATCTAATTTTTTAACTGACTCTGTCATTTGAAAATGGTACTTAAAAATCATAGTTTCAGTACTACTGTCAAAAAATCTGGGGCATAAGCTTCATTCATGATATTGCAAATTGTAAGGTCACTTTCCACATTATCAAATTTATATTTTTAACATCAGGTGACATCAGATGATAAGGCCTAAAAAGGAAAACCACTCTCATTTATATTTCATGCTTGACCACACAAGCTCTTTTTGTTTTCCTATTAATGATCTAAAGTGAAATCCTGTTCAAAGCCAACCATTTTAATTAACATATTTTAGCCTGTTAACTACAAAATGCTTCCATATTTACTTCATAGTTTTAGGGGCAAAATACACCCAAGGTGATGTGAATTTGCATAGTGCTTTGAGAACATTAATAAACAACCATATATCTTTTTAATCAGTAGTCAAATTGTAAGATGTAGAAACCCCAGGGTTTATGCAGTGAATAAATCTAAGAAAACAAGAAAGACAAGTTTATTTCTCTTCCTCGCCAAAGTTTCTGTTTGTGTAGGTAAATTCCAACCGAGCTTTATTTATTTCACTCTTGGAAATTCAGGCAAATTGATAGTCTTGTTTTATTTACCTTGAGGACTGATTACTTCTTAGGCTGCTGCTTTTCTAATATATACATTTCTTTTTTTTTTTTTTTTTTTTTTTTTTTTTTATCCTCACCCGAGGACATTTTTCCATTTTTTTGTTCAGGTAGAGTGGGAGGGAGAGAGAGGAACAGAGAGAGAGAGAGAAACATCGACGAGAAAGGGACCCATCGAGTGGTTGCCACCCACACAACGGACCAGGGCTGGGGACAAACTGCAACCAAGGTACGCGCCCTTAGCGGGAACCGAACCCAAGTCTCTCAGGACCGCAGGCCGACGCTCTAACCACTGAGCCAAACCGGCCAGGGCTATATACATTTCTTTAAATTGTTCCTTAAAAAGATGGTAACGTGGTAACAACATAAAAGTGAAAAACTGGAAGTCAAAAGGATGGGAGCAATAAGTACACAACATTCCCCTGCCTTCCCCACACCTAAACCTTAGGAAATTTAAGTTTAAGAAAGTCTGCACCATCAAAAGCAATGGTTTATAAAATAACAAGTAATAGTTGCTGAGAAATCAACAGTTTGACTAATTAACAATAAAGGGGCTGGTTGGTGGTCATATCTGACTCCTAGCTTCATAATGGCCCCTTTTCCTTCAGAGTTTCAAGTTTCCTGTATCGAATAATGTCTCTTCTGTTTGGTTAATGTGGTTGCTATTGGTACTATTTAATTCACATTCATTTTATTTATTTATTTTTTTAATCCTTACCTGAGGATATTTTTCTATTGATCTTCCGATAGAGTGAGAGGGAAGGAGGGAGGGAGAGAGAGAGAGAGAAAAAAAATCTATGTGAAAGAGACACATGGACTGGCTGCCACCAACATGACCCCGATCAGGGATGGGGACAAACCACAACTGAGGTACGCGCCCTTGACTAGAATGGAACCTGCAACTCATTGGTCTGTGGGCCGACACTCTAACCACTGAGCCAAACCAGCCAGGGCAATTCACATTCATTTTAAAGAGCCCTGATTATGCAATACATGGGATATCATTTATAACCATTAAATATTGTGTGCACTGTAATGTTTCCTTACTGGCCGGTTTGGCTCAGCGGTCGGAGCGTCGGCCTGCGGTCCTGAGAGACCCGGGTTCGGTTCCCGCTAAGGGCACGTACCTCGGTTGCAGTTTGTCCCCGGCCCTGGTTGGTTGTGCGGGTGGCAGCCACTCAATGTGTCCCTTCACATCGACGTTTCTCTCTCTCTCTCTTCCTCTCCCGCTCTATCTGAACAAAAAAAAAAAGGAAGACCTTTTTGTCCAATAGCACCTTTCCCCCAGCAGCTATAACCCAGATATCTATCTTCCCCTTCTTCAATCTCTCTGGAGTGAGCAATGAAAAGTTTACTGAAGATTTTGTAGGGAATGGAGGGGAGGATTTACATGACACATACTATAGCAGATGCTTTAAAATCCTGTCTCAGCATTTCTGTTCTCTCAAGATCCTCTTCTGCTGGGCCACACTCACAGGAGAAAAACTGGTCTGTCCTCCCTCTTCTCCTCACCAGAACCCAGCCTCTCTAGCTTCTCTTTTCTAAAGTTTTGAGAGCTCTGTAACAGCTGTGACTATCTTATTTTCCTTTATGTCTAGCACAAAATAGACATTCAGTAAATGGTTTTTGTTTTTTTATCCTCACCCGAGAACATTTTTGCATTTTTTTTGTTCAGATAGAGTGGAAGGGAGACAGAGGAAGAGACAGAGAGAGAGAAACATCGACGTGAAAGGGACACATCAAGTGGCTGCCTCCAGCACAACCCAACCAGGGCCGGGGACAAACTGCAACCAAGGTACGTGCCGTTAGCGGGAACCAAACCCGGGTCTCTCGGGACTGCAGGCCCACGCTCTAACTACTGAGCCAAACTGGCCAGGGCAATATTTGTTGAATATATAAATGAATCTTGCCTACCTCTCCTGCTAATGTCAAAGTTATAATTGGCACAGTAAATCAACTTGGCTTCAGCCATTTTCCCCAAACATTATACAATACAGACAGCCCAGAGTGAATAGGACCACTCTTCTGACAAGTAGAATTTGGGGATTAACTTTGGTTCCTTTAATGCACCCATATCCCTAATGGTTTAATAATAGTAATAGTAACAGCTAGCATTAAGTATCTATATGTGCCAGTAATTCTTAAGTCCTTTATGTGTATGAATTCATCTAATCCTCACAACAACCCTCTAGGTTAGTGCTATTATTTTCACCTTCCTTTTATACACGAAGAAACTAAGGCCTAGAGAAGTTAAGTAACATGCCCAAAGTTTCACAGCCATTAAATGGCAGAGCCATGATTTAAACCAGGAGATCTATCCTCAAAGTCCATGTTCTCAACCATACATCTACTAACTCAATATTTCTTTTAAACAAACACAGTTCTCTCCTCAA